TGTTAGACCGCCTTTACGAACAGCGAAAAGGCCATCACCGATTTCCTGATGTTACAAGCGGATAAAGGTACTCCCCTGTGTAACTTCGATGTCAGCCATTGGCAGCTCATGCGTGACACCTGCCGCTTGCTCAGGCCCTTTGAGGAGGCCACGCTATTCGTGAGTCGGCAGGACTATGGGATGAACGACGTCATTCCTCTGTTGCACGTCCTGGAACAAATGCTGTTAACAATGGCTGGTCAGGGTGCGGTAGACGTGGCGCACAGATCTCAACGCCACATGACCCCTGTGGGGGCAGGACAGGAAGAAGAGGAGGAGGTAGAGGAGGACATTGGTGCTCAGGAATTATTGAGTGAAATGGGTGGTTTTTTCCACTCAGCGGACAGGAGTGGAGGAGCAGGAGCATCTGGTAGAGGAGGAGGAGGAGGAGGAGACAGAGGACCCAGACGCACCGTGGCAGTATGCTGTGGAGATGGAGGCAGGGAGTCCCTCGCATTCCTTGGCACAAATGGCCCATAGCATGCTCGGTTGCTTGCGTAGCGACAGCCGAATAATAACCATCAGACAGAGGGATGACTTTTGGCTGTCCACCTTGTTGGACCCTCGCTACCGTTCAAAAAATGGTGGCCTTTTTCACACCTGCTGAGAGGGAGGCCAAAATAACGTACTATAAAAACCACCTATGTAGTCAGTTGGTCTCTGCCTTTTGTGCGCCAACGTCCATCCTCAGACACTGTGGGCCCTGTGCGCTCGCGTTCCGCTGCCATGGCAGCAGGGGAGGGGTGGGGTGGTAGGAGCAGTGGCAGCTCCACCAGCAGCGGCTGCCTCAGTCTGCAGTCGATGATGAGTAGCTTTCTTCACCAGCGCAGTGAGGAAACTACTAACCAGCCAGCAGCAGCAGCAGCAGCAGCATCAGGTGGACCTGGAGCAGGAGGACCTCAAACAACAGGCTTGGGCCTACTTGGACAGCACCCTGCCAACCGAGGTAGACAATCCCCTTGACTACTGGGCAACGAAACTTGACCTTTGGCCCCAACTAGCTGCTGAATTTGCCCTTGAAAGGCTGTCATGCCCGGCCAGTAGCGTGGCATCGGAGCGCGTGTTTAGTAGTGCGGCAGGAGGTATTGTAACTCCGCGGAGGACACGACTGTCCACCCAAAGTGTGGAGAGACTCACGTTTGTGAAAATGAATCAGGCGTGGATTAGTCTGGATTTCAAACCACCACCAGTTCCTGACACAACTGACTAAATCCGCCATGAATCATGCCCCAAACATGTGCCACTTTCAGGTCTCCTCACACACTGCTGGTGTGTGTTCCATTTTGTCATAGGGTGCTGGCAGATTACGGGCCTCCCATTGCTGCTGCCAGGCCTGTAATCTGCCATGGGCCCCTGTACCGCCTCCTCATGCTGCTGCCAGGTCCAGAGTGTCTCATGGGTCCCTGTACGGCCTCCCATTGCTGCTGTCTCCATCGCCACACTCTGCCATGTGCCACTTTCAGGTCTCCTCACACTGCTGGTGTGTTCCATTTTTTGTCATAGGGTGCTGGCAGATTACGGGCCTCCCATTGCTGCTGCCAGGCCTGTAATCTGCCATGGGCCCCTGTACCGCCTCCTCATGCTGCTGCCAGGTCCAGAGTGTCTCATGGGTCCCTGTACGGCCTCCCATTGCTGCTGTCTCCATCGCCACACTCTGCCATGTGCCACTTTCAGGTCTCCTCACACTGCTGGTGTGTTCCATTTTGTCATAGGGTGCTGGCAGATTACGGGCCTCCCATTGCTGCTGCCAGGCCCTGTAATCTGCCATGGGCCCCTGTACCGCCTCCTCATGCTGCTCATGCTGCCCAGGTCCAGAGTCTCTCATGGGTCCCTGTACGGCCTCCCATTGCTGCTGTCTCCATCGCCACACTCTGCCATGTGCCACTTTCAGGTCTCCTCACACTGCTGGTGTGTTCCATTTTGTCATAGGGTGCTGGCAGATTACGGGCCTCCCATTGCTGCTGCCAGGCCCGTAATCTGCCATGGGCCCCTGTACCGCCGCCTCCTCATGCTGCTGCCAGGTCCAGAGTCTCTCATGGGTCCCTGTACGGCCTCCCATTGCTGCTGTCTCCATCGCCACACTCTGCCATGTGCCACTTTCAGGTCTCCTCACACTGCTGGTGTGTTCCATTTTTTGTCATAGGGTGCTGGCAGATTACGGGCCTCCCATTGCTGCTGCCAGGCCCGTAATCTGCCATGGGCCCCCTGTACCGCCTCCTCATGCTGCTGCCAGGTCCAGAGTGTCTCATGGGTCCCTGTACGGCCTCCCATTGCTGCTGTCTCCATCGCCACACTCTGCCATGTGCCACTTTCAGGTCTCCTCACACTGCTGGTGTGTTTCCATTTTTTTGTCATAGGGTGCTGGCAGATTACGGGCCTCCCATTGCTGCTGCCAGGCCCGTAATCTGCCATGGGCCCCTGTACCGCCTCCTCATGCTGCTGCCAGGTCCACAGTCTCTCATGGGTCCCTGTACGGCCTCCCATTGCTGCTGTCTCCATCGCCACACTCTGCCATGTGCCACTTTCAGGTCTCCTCACACTGCTGCTGGTGTGTTCCATTTTTTGTCATAGGGTGCTGGCAGATTACGGGCCTCCCATTGCTGCTGCCAGGCCCGTAATCTGCCATGGGCCCCTGTACCGCCGCCTCCTCATGCTGCTGCCAGGTCCAGAGTCTCTCATGGGTCCCTGTACGGCCTCCCATTGCTGCTGTCTCCATCGCCACACTCTGCCATGTGCCACTTTCAGGTCTCCTCACACTGCTGGTGTGTGTTCCATTTTGTCATAGGGTGCTGGCAGATTACGGGCCTCCCATTGCTGCTGCCAGGCCTGTAATCTGCCATGGGCCCCTGTACCGCCTCCTCATGCTGCTGCCAGGTCCAGAGTGTCTCATGGGTCCCTGTACGGCCTCCCATTGCTGCTGTCTCCATCGCCACACTCTGCCATGTGCCACTTTCAGGTCTCCTCACACTGCTGGTGTGTTCCATTTTTTTGTCATAGGGTGCTGGCAGATTACGGGCCTCCCATTGCTGCTGCCAGGCCTGTAATCTGCCATGGGCCCCTGTACCGCCTCCTCATGCTGCTGCCAGGTCCAGAGTGTCTCATGGGTCCCTGTACGGCCTCCCATTGCTGCTGTCTCCATCGCCACACTCTGCCATGTGCCACTTTCAGGTCTCCTCACACTGCTGGTGTGTTCCATTTTTTTGTCATAGGGTGCTGGCAGATTACGGGCCTCCCATTGCTGCTGCCAGGCCCGTAATCTGCCATGGGCCCCTGTACCGCCTCCTCCATGCTGCTGCTGCTGCCAGGTCCAGAGTCTCTCATGGGTCCCTGTACGGCCTCCCATTGCTGCTGTCTCCATCGCCACACTCTGCCATGTGCCACTTTCAGGTCTCCTCACACTGCTGGTGTGTTCCATTTTGTCATAGGGTGCTGGCAGATTACGGGCCTCCCATGCTGCTGCTGCCAGGCCCGTAATCTGCCATGGGCCCCTGTACCGCCTCCTCATCATGCTGCTGCCAGGTCCCAGAGTCTCTCATGGGTCCCTGTACGGCCCCATTGCTGCTGTCTGTCTCCATCGCCACACTCTGCCATGTGCCACTTTCAGGTCTCCTCACACTGCTGGTGTGTTCCATTTTGTCATAGGGTGCTGGCAGATTACGGGCCTCCCATTGCTGCTGCCAGGCCCGTAATCTGCCATGGGCCCCTGTACCGCCTCCTCATGCTGCTGCCAGGTCCAGAGTCTCTCATGGGTCCCTGTACGGCCTCCCATTGCTGCTGTCTCCATCGCCACACTCTGCCATGTGCCACTTTCAGGTCTCCTCACACTGCTGGTGTGTTCCATTTTGTCATAGGGTGCTGGCAGATTACGGGCCTCCCATTGCTGCTGCCAGGCCCGTAATCTGCCATGGGCCCCTGTACCGCCTCCTCATGCTGCTGCCAGGTCCAGAGTCTCTCATGGGTCCCTGTACGGCCTCCCATTGCTGCTGTCTCCATCGCCCACACTCTGCCATGTGCCACTTTCAGGTCTCCTCACACTGCTGGTGTGTTCCATTTTGTCATAGGGTGCTGGCAGATTACGGGCCTCCCATTGCTGCTGCCAGGCCCGTAATCTGCCATGGGCCCCTGTACCGCCTCCTCATGCTGCTGCCAGGTCCAGAGTCTCTCATGGGTCCCTGTACGGCCTCCCATTGCTGCTGTCTCCATCGCCACACTCTGCCATGTGCCACTTTCAGGTCTCCTCACACTGCTGCTGTGTGTTCCATTTTGTCATAGGGTGCTGGCAGATTACGGGCCTCCCATTGCTGCTGCCAGGCCCGTAATCTGCCATGGGCCCCCCTGTACCGCCTCCTCTCATGCTGCTGCCAGGTCCAGAGTCTCTCATGGGTCCCTGTACGGCCTCCCATTGCTGCTGTCTCCATCGCCACACTCTGCCATGTGCCACTTTCAGGTCTCCTCTCACACTGCTGGTGTGTTCCATTTTTTGTCATAGGGTGCTGGCAGATTACGGCCCTCCCATTGCTGCTGCCAGGCCTGTAATCTGCCATGGGCCCCTGTACCGCCTCCTCATGCTGCTGCCAGGTCCAGAGTGTCTCATGGGTCCCTGTACGGCCTCCCATTGCTGCTGTCTCCATCGCCACACTCTGCCATGTGCCACTTTCAGGTCTCCTCACACTGCTGGGTGTGTTCCATTTTGTCATAGGGTGCTGGCAGATTACGGGCCTCCCATTGCTGCTGCCAGGCCCGTAATCTGCCATGGGCCCCTGTACCGCCTCCTCATGCTGCTGCCAGGTCCAGAGTCTCTCATGGGTCCCTGTACGGCCTCCCATTGCTGCTGTCTCCATCGCCACACTCTGCCATGTGCCACTTTCAGGTCTCCTCACACTGCTGGTGTGTTCCATTTTGTCATAGGGTGCTGGCAGATTACGGGCCTCCCATTGCTGCTGCCAGGCCCGTAATCTGCCATGGGCCCCTGTACCGCCTCCTCATGCTGCTGCCAGGTCCAGAGTCTCTCATGGGTCCCTGTACGGCCTCCCATTGCTGCTGTCTCCATCGCCACACTCTGCCATGTGCCACTTTCAGGTCTCCTCACACTGCTGGTGTGTGTTCCATTTTGTCATAGGGTGCTGGCAGATTACGGGCCTCCCATTGCTGCTGCTGCCAGGCCCGTAATCTGCCATGGGCCCCCGTACCGACTCCTCATGCTGTGACGTTGCAACAAGGTGGAATTCAACCCTACATATATGTTAGACCGCCTTTACGAACAGCGAAAGGCCATCACCGATTTCCTGATGTTACAAGCGGATAAAGGTACTCCCCTGTGTAACTTAGATGTCAGCCATTGGCAGCTCATGCGTGACACCTGCCGCTTGCTCAGGCCCTTTGAGGAGGCCACGCTATTCGTGAGTCGGCAGGACTATGGGATGAACGACGTCATTCCTCTGTTGCACGTCCTGGAACAAATGCTGTTAACAATGGCTGGTCAGGGTGCGGTAGACGTGGCGCACAGATCTCAACGCCACATGACCCCTGTGGGGGCAGGACAGGAAGAAGAGGAGGAGGTAGAGGAGGACATTGGTGCTCAGGAATTATTGAGTGAAATGGGTGGTTTTTCCACTCAGCGGACAGGAGTGGAGGAGCAGGAGCATCTGGTAGAGGAGGAGGAGGAGGAGACAGAGGACCCAGACGCACCGTGGCAGTATGCTGTGGAGATGGAGGCAGGGAGTCCCTCGCATTCCTTGGCACAAATGGCCCATAGCATGCTCGGTTGCTTGCGTAGCGACAGCCGAATAATAACCATCAGACAGAGGGATGACTTTTGGCTGTCCACCTTGTTGGACCCTCGCTACCGTTCAAAAATGGTGGCCTTTTTCACACCTGCTGAGAGGGAGGCCAAAATAACGTACTATAAAAACCACCTATGTAGTCAGTTGGTCTCTGCCTTTCTGCGCCAACGTCCATCCTCAGACACTGTGGGCCCTGTGCGCTCGCGTTCCGCTGCCATGGCAGCAGGGGAGGGGTGGGGTGGTAGGAGCAGTGGCAGCTCCACCAGCAGCAGCTGCCTCAGTCTGCAGTCGATGATGAGTAGCTTTCTTCACCAGCGCAGTGAGGAAACTACTAACCAGCCGCAGCAGCAGCAGCATCAGGTGGACCTGGAGCAGGACCTCAAACAACAGGCTGGGCCTACTTGGACAGCACCCTGCCAACCGAGGTAGACAATCCCCTTGACTACTGGGCAACGAAACTTGACCTTTGGCCCCAACTAGCTGAATTTGCCCTTGAAAGGCTGTCATGCCCGGCCAGTAGCGTGGCATCGGAGCGCGTGTTTAGTGCGGCAGGAGGTATTGTAACTCCGCGGAGGACACGACTGTCCACCCAAAGTGTGGAGAGACTCACGTTTGTGAAAATGAATCAGGCGTGGATTAGTCTGGATTTCAAACCACCAGTTCCTGACACAACTGACTAAATCCGCCATGAATCATGCCCCAAACATGTTATTATTTTTAACATAGGCCTCTGTATGGCCTTCAATTTAAGCTGCTTACGCTTCGCCACTCTGCCATGGGCCCCTGTATCTGCCCGCCTCCTCTTGCTGCTGCCAGGTCCAGAGTGTGTCATGGGTCCCTGTACGGCCTCCCATTGCTGCTGACTTCATCGCCACACTCTGCCATGTGCCACTTTCAGGTCTCCTTACACTGTTGGTGGGTTCCATTTTGTCATAGGGTTCTGGCAGATTACGGGCCTCCCATTGCTGCTGCCAGGCCCGTAATCTGCCATGGGCCCCCGTACCGCCTCCTCATGCTGCTGCCAGGTCCAGAGTGTGTCATGGGTCCCTGTACGGCCTCCCATTGCTGCTGTCTCCATCGCCACACTCTGCCATGTGCCACTTTCAGGTCTCCTCACACTGCTGGTGGGTTCCATTTTTTGTCATAGGGTGCTGGCAGATTACGGGCCTCCCATTGCTGCTGCCAGGCCCGTAATCTGCCATGGGCCCCCGTACCGCCTCCTCATGCTGCTGCCAGGTCCAGAGTGTCTCATGGGTCCCTGTACGGCCTCCCATTGCTGCTGTCTCCATCGCCACACTCTGCCATGTGCCACTTTCAGGTCTCCTCACACTGCTGGTGGGTTCCATTTTTGTCATAGGGTGCTGTATGGCCTCCCATTGCTGCTGCCTCCACCGCCACACTGTTGCTCCACACTCTGGTTTTGGCCCCGTGACTGCCCAAATGAGTGAAGTGTGCGGTGATTCTAAGATCGACGGCACTCATCTGCATGTCATACTGACTGACAGTATTATTTCTCTTCCCCAGCAGACTCCAAGGGCATTTAAATTAAAGGTACAGTGTTCTGCACTAATATAAAGGCTCTCTGAAGCCTAGAAACCATTTTTATAAGTTAAATTCGCAGCGAATATATTCGCATCGAATCGAATTTATTCCTCGAATTCGCCTTCACTGGTGCATATATCAGTGTTTAATTTTTGTGTTGCATATGTATCTCTTTTTAGATTCTTGCCCTGAGCTGGATCACATACTAGCATACTAGCATTGTCTAGTTGGGCTCCTCAGTCCATATATTACACTGGTACCAATGTTTTTACATTGCAATTTTGATGCATAGTCTTTCATGCCTATAATATGTGTGTACAACCCCTGCATGGTGGTGTTTCCTATGTGCCTGTGCTGCATATACACTAGACCTTGTGTCATTGTCTTTACAGCACCACCATACTCATGGCCAGTCATGACGTCCTTCTTTTAAATACTTTTTTGTTTTGGGTCAATTCCTTTGGTATTTGTCTCATTTTGTGGTGATGGCTAACTGTGGTATTTACCTAAATTTTTTCTAAACATGTGCATAAATTGCAATAAAGCATAATTTTTTGATAAATGTTTGGGTATCGTTTTTGTCCATTATGTAACTGCTTTTTCTTTTGAATTTCTTTTAACATCCCCCCTTCTTTGATGTATAAGAAACAGCCTTCGAAGGCCCGTCCCATCTCAAAGCCGTCTGGTAGGAAAGTAATTCTTCCTCAGAGCTGAACGTAACAGGAGTCCTGTTTGCCCTTAAATGACCAGGGGACACCCTAGCCCTCCCTCCAAGCATGAATCAATGGGCGAGGGAACAGAGCAGGTCCGCCCCTAAAAGGTTTTGGATACAGGACACCATGGCATACATAAAACATAAAAATGACAAGAAAAAAATATAAAACCATATATGATATAACATGATAAAATTAATAAATAATATGTATATGTTTGTAACCATAAAGATAACCAGATATGTATATATACATATCGAAAAAAAGAGAACAGAGGGAGGCACACCTTATATGAGCTGCAGTAATGTGGTACTTAGCCAAATCAACATGGATTATCCACAGGTGTATACACTCAATCTTGCCAAGATTATCATTTGTACTGGTGGATACACTCAACCTTCCACCATAACTGGATGCAACACCAATATTATGTCAGCCCAGTGTTTAGTGATTGTTGTATGGGGGACTGTGTCCACAATAGCAGGGCACTATATATATTAAACATTCTGGGCAGTGGATGTATATGTCTCTTGGAATGGGCGCCCCTCACACATTCCACTCACACTAATGTACAGCTCTGGAAATGTATTTCTGAGAATATGTATGGGTGTTGAGTTGTAGTGGTTCCTCCTGCCCCTAAAGGAACTACCTGCCCTAACACAGCTGCTAGCACCCAAACCGTTTTACCTCAAAGATTGAATACCATGAATATTGTACATATGGTGCAGCACTTAAAATACTAAATAAACAATATTTAATAATACAATATTTAGTGCAACTATAAAAAGATCCTATAGGATCTAAAATAAAGGTGCAAAATATAAAGTGCAACTGGGTGAATGAATCCAATGGGTCACAAAGTCAGACCCTATATAAAGTGAAAAAACGAAAAACGAATATATAAACAATCCAATCCCAGAAAATGGGATAATACACACAGCAATTTGTGCCAACAAAGTGAATCCCAATAATGGGATAATAATAAAGTGACCAGTTGCTTATTCACAATGCACACAGTGACACCAAATATCTAAAAAATATCAAAAGCAATATATATGTGTGGTGAGACAATCCAATAATAAAAATATATGCAGTGTAAAAAATCAAATGCTGTGGACAGATCCAAAGATCGCATACAATAAAGCAGCAAATGTCCCAATCAAGTCCAATAAAGTGCTGTAGGAATCCTCCACACAAAAAGTGCTCCACTACTTTTAAGGAACTGTTTGCACCGCGTGTGGTGTGCACTCACAAACAAATCCTAAAAACGGCTAAAATGCCCGCTCACCTCCATTAAGTGTCCCTATGAGTCCAAACGCTTTTTGGATCACACCAGTAATCCTACGATATAGATCTCTCAATAGCCGAACCTCCACACACAGCGTTCCACATATACCATATGAGCAATCCCTTCCTGGATCGGTAGGCATGTGGCCTTACTGTCTCCCAACTTTACTCAGTAAGACTTTGCACAGCTCTCAATAAGATCATGCGTGGTCTCATAAGAGAAGAGAGAAATACTTCCATAGTGACAATAATGCTTTTTAATATAGGGAATCCAAAAAACTCCAGTATATACACTCACATGTGGTATGCAGCATTAGGTTCGGCATTCCACCAAACATATCCTGGGTGTATTCACATGTTTCCCTGGGTGTACCAGATGGCTGCCACCGTAATGACGTCACAGCATAGCGTAGCGACGCATTGCGTCACGTATCCCACGTGACTTCTTCAGGATAACCCTGAAGAAGTGGGAATGCAAACCCCGGAAACCACCACCGAACTGCGTCAGTGAAAGGGGTGGGGCTAAGGGGCTCAAGGAAGAAACCATGCAAATAGGCTAAGAAAAAAGCCAATGTGTTCCCACCACAAAAGCAATCCATCCAGGACACCCGGGGGACCACAATCCGTCCCCCAAGTACACATGCAGTACATGTGCAGAGAACCTCAACGTGGTGCACAAAATAATAACATTAAAAAGGTAGATAAATTGATCATAAAAAATATATTGACTAGTTGTGTGACGTGGTAAAAACTGTGGTAAAAACAGCAATGGGTTGGTATCAAATAATTACATCACATAAAAACCCCCCCTTACAAGGTTTTTGTGCAAAACCTGGAGGTGTGTATGGAAGCTGGCATATGAATAAGTGTCCATGTGAGTGCTCATCCATATGCAATAAAAATAAGAACATATGCATGCGCATTGTGTGTATGATGGGCAAGGCCACCCCAGTGGATTTCCCGGGCTGGGATAAAAAAATTGTCATAATTAATTTATTTTTTCAATACATATAGGTACATCAGCACAGGGAGGAAGAAAATACCTGGATACATGATGGTGGGCTATAGGGCATTGTTGACCTCTCTAAACCAGCATGTGTATGTATAGAGCCTCATTGAGGCCCTAGGGAGACAGAGTCAAGCTGAGGGATCCTGTCACGTACCTAATGGAGACTGAAATGACCGAGGTCAGTCTCACTTGTGTCACTAGCCCATGACCCCAACTGGTAGTGGAACAGAGGGTGTCTAGGGACCAGGGGGACAAGAGCGCCAGCAGATGTTGTTTGCAGCTCTTGCCAGTTGGAGATTTTTGGAAGGCTGATGAACCTCCGATTCAGGCACCATAGTAATATGCAGAGCTGGTATGGTAGATCGCAGATGTGCACCAGAGCAAGGCAGCAGGAAGCAGGGATGGGATGGGACAGGAGCAGTGTCAAAGGAATAGCCAGGGTCATCAATGGTCTAGCGGACAGCGAGCGAGGTACCAAATCATAAGCAAGCCAAAGTCAGGAACCAGTATTCAAGCAGGGAGTAATCAGAGATTCAGGTCAGGAACAAACCGGGTCAAGCAACAAGGAAACTCACACACAGGAACGAGCATGGGAACAGCTGAAGACCAGTCAGCACAGGCAAAGGCACCTTTATTAAATAGTCCGTCTGGCGCCAATCTTCACCGTACATGTGCGTGAATCGGTCATTTCTGTCCTGTGCACTATGCGCACGTCTATTCACCTGCCGTCTCATGGGAATTTCCCTTACCAAATCCAAATGTCTCTCCCGTCGGCACAAAGGCTGGTATCGATTCTCTGCCAACATCACTAATCTTCACGTATGGCTTTAACACCAAAAACTTTCAAGCTCCTGGGGTTTTGCCATTGCTCATTTCTGAAATGACATAGAACTGAATGTTTGTCCAACCCATGAAATAATGTTCATCTTGTGTTCCCCAAAGCGTGTTATTCTAAGGGTTTGCAGCGTGAAGTGCGGGCCCACATATATGAGCAAAACCACAGGGGCAGATTCATGCTAATATACAACAAACTGAGTCCCACAAGTGATGAACTGTTTTGATGGGGTATGATCTCCCATCCATCTCCTGTGGCCTCCTTTTTTCTATGCCAACATGAGCGCCACAATTAGAAAAACTCCACATCTGTAATTCCCCTTCGGGTTTAAAAAATCTAATTCCAGCCTGAACCAAAGATTTGCTGGTGGTTTGATTTTGTATGGTGGGCAATGATGCTCTTCATGATTTTCAGCACTGCAAAAGATTATCTCTGTCTTTTGGGAAACAGAACCTGTCAAAAAGGATCTTGGGCCAGAATCCCCCAGTATATTGTTGAACACTCTTTTGATGTCAAATATGGCCTTCCGGTTATATCATGGTGCAAAAGGCCAGCTGGAACAGCTGCCCCTTGCTCCATGTGCGTTCGGCAACCACCTTAGATATGAACCATCACCTATGAATGTAGGGAGGTGTGTATCCACTATCATATTGCTTCCTGTATTTATCATAAGCCCTCTATAATGGAAGGAGGCATATCCTTTTTTTTTCCAGAAGTGATACATCTTAAAATCGATTATGAGAGAGTTTTATCTCTGAGCATAACCTGTACCAAGGTAGAAGATTATGAAGCTCAGAGACAAAATCCATCAAGACGTTCTTGGAAAAAGGAACGATGCCTCCTTCCATTATAGAGGCTATATGATAAAATACAGGAAGCAAAATGATAGTGAACATAACCAACCTCCCTACATTTCATAGGTTGATGATTCCATTCTAAGGATGGTGCCGAACGCACTTGGAGCAAGGGGAGCAGTTCCCAGGCTGGCCTTTTGCATCCAGATATAAACGGACGGCCATTGACATCAAAAAAGAGTGTACAACATAACTACTGGGGGATTTGGCCCAAGATCCTTTTATTCGACAGGTTCTGTATTTCCCAAAAGACAGAGATAATCTAATTGCAGGGCTGAAAGATCTGAAGAGCATCATTGCCACCAGCAAAATCAACCACCAGCCAAATCTTTGGG